CCGGGATGTGGAACCCTTCGCGGAACAAAAATATCCTTTTTTTATTCCCTCAAAGTGTTATTATGTGATCCTCCTTTAGAAGAAGAGGGACAAATGTTTCTTTCGGATTTCCTTCCAAATTTAAGACTTATGTGGTAATCTATCCCCCGGTTCTTTTGATAAGTGTTACGCCGCGACTTTTATATTTGCGTGGAACAATTTGTATTCTCATTAGAATTTTTTTATCAATAAGTTCCAGTATTTTTAGGCTCCAAAAATCAATCCCTTTTTGGAACGGTTCCCTTTATTCCAAAAAATAACCTTTTTTTTCAATGTGGATTATTGGGTAGATAAAAAATTCTTTAAGGTATTGCACGGGTAACAGTTCCATAAAATTTTTTAATGTGAAGAAAAAATGTAGCAGTTTGTTTTACCACAGTGTAAATGACCAACTAGGATCTACACAGTTTTAGGAATATCCCGCTGTAGAATGACAACAAAGACGACGAAACTCATTTCACTCGAAAGTGAAGAGTTCAAAGTCGTGCACCCTACTCTATCTAGGTACTCATCGACGGGGCTACTTCTGTCTCATCCATATATGTAATGGCAACGATCAAGAATTCTACCCTTGCGAGTAAATCAATAAAAACGACTCAAACCCCAATCCGAAAACTGGGGGAGAAGTATAATATTGAAACAAATTCATAGATCCCTTGAAACTCTGCCTCTCGAGCGCCGAATTATCAAATAAATAGTGGTTAAGTTAAGCAACAATAGCAAGAAACAGGCGTGACGGTCTCACAAAAGCAAGAAGCATCACAGTTCCCCTCAACCGTATATTCAATTTGAATTGAGTCCATGGTTGTGTATAACATAAAACAAAAGAAGAAAAATGTTAAACAAAAATATAATACACTTAATCAAATACCACTTCTTTAAAGTCGATGCCCTTTATATAGTTTTCCAAAATTTGATTTTGCCAAAAAAAATTTTCTTATTTTCTTGTTTTGAACTGTACCGAATATTTCCGTATTACCCGGATATGTATAGTAACTAAATGAGGGCTATATAAACAGTAGTCTAATATCAATCATTTTTAAATGCTTAAACGACTGAATGGATTGATTAATCACGTAATCATTAAGTAACAATATATTCCGGCTATATATATTATATATGATCATATGGGAGAAATGGGTAAATAATTAGAAGTATTTATTTCTTTCATACTCTATGCAATTTGCTATAACCATGCACGTCACTTCTGCAACAGATGCATGAATTAAATCCTCTTAAGCTCAAAGATATTCTACAATCTTCACATAATGCAAAACACCTACAAGGCCATAATACGATGTTTCTGTCGTTTGTCTTGCAGACGACACATAAAGATTCAAAATTATCTTCATTATTTGAGTCCTTAGAGGTATGGACATTATTTGATGTAGCGTGGTTCAAAGTGGAATTCTCAGCCATAACTTCAGTTAATACTTCTCCTGGGTTTAAATTACTATATTCTGATCTTGTTAATCTTTTTTCGTTTTTTAGCTGATAACGTAACATATTCCACATCGAAATGACCCAGCTCATTTCATCTTTCGATCTTGAAGTTGGATATGGGATAATTAAATTGATCAATTGATCTTTTAAAGTTTCTTCTTCCAATTCTTCGACATCGTTGTCTTCTTCATCATCATCATCATCATCGCTGATAAGTTCTAGATCCTCTTCATCAATCTCAGATTCAGTTAAATCGTTTTGATTATTCTCAGACTTCTCATGGGATAAAATTTCCCAGTTTTCTTCATCCTCTGGTGGTATATAATCTGCAGAAAAGTCTTCCTCTGGTAAAAGCAATAATTCAGCAATGTCATCACTTACAGATTCGGATTTTGATAAAAATTTGGCGTAATTACTGCAGGTTATGTATCGATTTAGATCATTAGAGTTGGCTGCAACTGTGCTAGGTACATGGATATTAGATTCTTGTTTAGTAGTTTTTTGTTTTTTGGGAGATCTTAAAAAATGATAAAATGCTTCAAACAATTCGTATATTATCCATATTCTATTTTTCCATGAACTTTTTACAGTATTATTTTCGGGTTCTAGATTATCTCTTAGCTTTAGTTTCAAAAGTTCAGATCTCAAAAGGGTATGATTTTCATTATTGTAACCGCTGACCATATAGGAATGATGAATTGATAAAGGAACATTTAAAGAAGTGAATTCCTTTTGTACACCATTATTGTTTGTACCGGTTCCTTTACATAGTAGTAAAGCTAATTTTCCAATAACTGTTGTAAATTCCTGTTCTGTGGTACAATTCAAATGGCCCCACCAATTATTCATAAATGTATAATATTGAAGTTCTTCTGGGTCTCTAGTATTGCCTCCGAATGGATCAATTCTAACCAAGCATGCTAATCCATAACATAAAGCTGATATTAGAACCAAGAAAATGGAGAACACTTTAGGGAAATGTCTGAAAAAAGTTGTAAAAGGAATGGTACCAATCCCGTATTGATTAACGATGTAACCTAAATAACTCAAATAACCAATATTTAAGATGGTACTTCCCATCAATCTAAAGTTTCTTATTCTGAATATTTCCACAACATGAATTAATATTCTTCCTAATAAAGCCATTAATATATCTGAAATATACTCTAGACGAATTGGGTTATCATTTTTCCCTTTGCTCATTAGATAGAATTGGATTGATAGTTCAAAGATTGTATAATCTGAATCTTCCAAAGGTTTTGTATTTGTTGTAATTGCTACAAACGTTTCGATACAATGGGACCAAGCAAACACGGTAAAACATCTTGATAAGAAAAACCTAAATTCCAGTACAGGTAATAGATTTGAAGAGTTTGTTTGGCAGAATCCAGTGAGTATCATGAACACCAAAGGTAAAATAGCAGAGAAATGCAATAGAATATTTGACCATTTTGGTAAACTTGTTGGTGGAGTATTTGTCCTTAACGAAGACATCATTACGAATCTATTTAATAAAAGGGCAGTAATGAAACAAGCAACTGCATAATTACTGAAAAAATAACCTACAATATTCATAAAAGTTTCGAAACCTGGATAAACGTTTTCTGCCTCTAGAGCCTGTCTATATTGTAATTTAGTTGCATCTGAGAATGATAAACCAATTCTATAGGGGAAGTTTAAAATTGTAGCCAGAGTAGAGTTATTTGTAATTAGAAATTGATCAGTTTGTTTTAAATAGTTCAAACCATCTAGGGCATTTTCCATAGATGAATTTGACATCTTGTATACTTTGTTCTTTTAAACCACAAAGAGTAACACCTGAATCAGTATACAAGTATTAATATGAATGAATATGACTATGAATATGGGAATAAGTATGAGGATGGGAATCAATAAGTGTGTATATAAATATATGTATATGAAAAATAATAAACAGACAGTCAAATTATATCAAAAAATAACAATTTCTCTAAACGAAGCCTGTTTTTCTTCTTGTTCCTTAACAATATGTAATATGGAATAATTTCCAAAATATAGGATTCGAATTTAATTTCTATTTAGTTGATATTAATCTAAGGTAATTTAATGAGATATGGATCGAAATTTAAAACCAAATAAATATATAGTTCATTGGTCAAATAAAGATGGGGAAGGTAACTGGTAACATACTAGAAATAGTTGTTCCCCTTCTTTTGGTTGATAAAGGATAGTAGTATAATCTGATAATGGGTAGAGAGGTATAAGGTCTACTAGTAAAGTATTGTAAAGGAAGGGTTTCTCCGAGAACAGAAAAGAGAACATTCCAAGAAGAAAACATAAAAAAAGGGAAAATTCCAAATAAACCTTTTTGCCAGCTCGTTAGTTAGTACTGGGATAATATAAATATATACGGATGTATGTATGTATGTATATGTTCAAAACAGAAAAAAAAATATTAAAAATAATGGTTGCTAAAAGATTCGAACTCTTGCATCTTACGATACCTGAGTATTCCTACTTAGTAGTTAAGTAATCTAATACTTGAATCAGGCGCCTTAGACCGCTCGGCCAAACAACCGCTTTATTTGTTGAATATTTTTAAAAACTAGTTCGTGAATAATTGTGATAATACAACATGTCCGGGTTATAAGATAATTAGTGTCACAATAAGGAAGATGAGACACGAGGGAAATTTGTTGTAACCTAAAATGTATGAATTACATCGATGGGTTCCCAGATTATTCATATCAGGTGAAGAATGATATTTGTATTATTTCGAGACTACTTCGAGGTTACTTTGTACGAACCTTGACAGTAAAGACATGTAAAGACATGTGTGTCATTACAAGGTTGTTGCTTCCATACTATTAACATTGGTATTTAAAGAGACTATTGTATATTATTGTATATTATTTAGTATCTTACTTTGTACAACAAAAGGATATACAATTACATTATTATTAACAAGTATATTTACTTTAGCTTACAGATCTCAACCCTTAAGATCCTAGAGAATAAACGCCTAACAGCCTTCATTCTAACGTAAAACGAATTAAACATACAACTAAGTAATAATTAAAAGCATTATTAAGAGGCCGATCAATACATATTTATTTATTGCCCAAGTATCATTAGATCTAAGTTTACCGATTTGACCCAAGAGATAGAATATAAATCTATAAGATTCTAGAATATTCTTATGACCCTATAAATGTTATTTATTGTCCGAAGCCTATTCAAAGCAAAGATTATTAATAATATTAGGAAATGGTCTGGTATTTGTTTAAAATATTAATATATATTTATTTAGTTACCTTCATATAACACTATGGAGAAATAAATATAAATATTATATCAAAAAACATCTTGAATAAAATAATCAAAATGAATAAATCAGATATTACTTATACATCTGAATAATAATCACCTATTATATAATGATATACACCTCTTTCTTGTATGTTTAAAAGTTTTCATTTGAAAAAACGCTCCTGATCCATGATAATATGGCTTTATATTAAAACCTTCCATGACCAATGTCAGCATTTAATGCTGATTTGATTCATATTCGGGGTAGGAATATTTTAGGTTGTGGATCTAGTTGAGTGTCTTTTCCGAAAATAAGAGTAGCTTGGTCTATGGTAAACTTCTCAATAAAATTAGGCGCCTTTTTCCATTTGTTAACTCTGGTTGATGTCTATTTCTTCTTACACTCCCTCATATCTTTTGATTGATGCATCCTTAGTTAGTCGGTAGAGTCCATCTTTATGGGGTATGAGTAATAGTGGAAGATTGAAGAGGTCTGACTTTAACTACTTGATACTAAGGTGTTCTTCTTCTTGCCATCCTTTATCTGGTGTGGTTATGAATTTATTAAAAGGGACCGGCTTTAGTCTAACAATGATCGATATATTTTAAGCAGAAGTTAATTACACCCTGAACATTGCTCAGAATAGCTTTTTCTCTATTCCTCCGTCCCATCATTAAGCCAGTCGTTGTATTTCCTTGCTAGTCTACCATACAGATAAGTCTTTTCTGCACCTTTGGCTTCCAATACTAACAAGGAACATTCCAGTCTCTTAACGTCTTCATCTAGGGCTCGTGATATGTCTCGATCTAGTTGGATGCTGTAGTCTTCACCTTCATCGTATGGGTACATGTCGTACCACTGCTTTAAAGACTTATCCACTTCACCAATTTCATACAACTGCCATAGCGGATAATATGTCGCCTGATTAAGGGTAGGCCCGTACTGAGCATAGTAGTACCAGATAATGGCTGGGTAGATATAATCGTCGTGTTCAGTATTCAGGCATTGTTCAATCGTCACAGAATAATCACTTGCGGCAAGAGTTAATGCCAAATACGTTGAAAAAAGGAATGTGTCAGTTATTCTCATTTTTTCTTTATCTCCCTCTCTTTCTTATTAATATTATCTCTTCTTTATATACAAACAAGATTACATCTTTTTAAAATCTATATATCTAAAACTTGCATTCGAATATACATTTTATCATATTCAACCCTTGTCTTGGTTGGCTTCTTTATATAAGTTTCTGTTCTCACAAGTTTGCAGCCAATTCAATTTCGATATTTCTTCATATGGATCATTTTATGTATCAGACAGGACAAATAAGTTAAGGTCTTTAATTCGGTAATTGTAGTGGTGCCGTGTGCTATGCTGTGCTGCTAGTGGTGGTGGTTACTACACAACAAATACCAAAGTAAATTGTTCAAACCGGATTCACAAATTGATCATGTGACTTATACTTTCTCTCACTATGGAAAAAAAAAAATTAAAAATTTTGATATCGATATCGAAATTAAATTCGAATTCGAATTCGAAAAACTAATCTAAACTAAACTAAACTAAACTAAACAACAAAAGGCTAAAGGACATTGGTATATTTACTCATATCAACAAACGTTTACGCATCTATAAAGGGACTAGTTGGTTCAGTTTCTGTCCATTGTTACTTTGAGTGTTCAAGACAGACATCTCTAAGACTCACTGAGCTAATAATACCTTTCTGAACACAATGTTTGCTAGAAAAAGAAGAGGCGGTATGTTTATTTCAACTTCTAATGAAGGCTATGGTTATTGCAACATAAAGGGAGACATTCAATTCTAAATCAATCAAGTCCAGCCCAGTCCAATGCGGGGAAGCGTATACCTAGTGTAATGCTTTTTTTGAATTTTTTTTTTGTGGCAGATATGATATATATATTTTTGTGGCATTATATATTTTAAGAATCAGATGAAGATAAATTACAACCAACAACTGACATTTTGTAATTGAAACCAAAAAACCAAAAAAAATAATGTATTTAAACCATAATGATTCTGGGATATTTTGCAATTGTCACATTTGGGTTTCTAAATTACTGTGCAGTCCTTGTACGTATATGTGCAAAGATTTCACTAGTGACGACTATATATATTATCTTTTGGGTTTCATTTTGCTTCAAAAAGAATATATAAAGCCATTACATCTATCATATCCGATAATTTTAAGAATTGTCTCTGTTTTATTTTGTTTTATAAATAGCCTTTCTATATACTTTTTCTTTTGTTTTTGTTTTTGTATTTGTTATTGTATTTGTTCTGTATTTCTTTAACACTCCTTTGCTGTTTGAAAAGAAATCGCAGAAACAGACAAACACACACAGACGCATAGACACATCTTCCCCTTCCAGAAAATTTAATCATTTTACTAACTTAATTATGATTTTAAAGGCAGACTTCGATGATGATGATGGCTATCGTGATTTTAGACCACGTATGCAGAAGAGACAAAGAGTCCCTCCTGTGGTCCAACTATGTAAAGAAATGATGCCCGATATTAGAACTATTGGGGAATCCATTAAATCCTTCGATGAGGATATCCAATTCTTGAGTGAAGCCATCATTAATGAATACGGGCATGAAGAATATTTTAATACTGCCTTATTGAATACTTTCAATTCAATTGTAATGGAACAACCACAAAAACAACCTGCGATAGCTTTATTAACATTGGTTGTTAATAATAAAAATCCAATTGCAGGTAAAAGTATTGTAAATTTTTTCTATAATGAATTACAAAAATGGTGCAATGAAAGTTATAATGAAAACTTTAATGTGACTTCAAATGAAACTGGACCATGGAATAGAGTTAAATTGATTCTAAGATTCTTATCTTTGATGTCACCAATATTAATTATAGATGATTTGATTAATATTTATAAATCTTTGATTGATTTTAGCATCGAATTAAATAATATTGATCCATCTAAAAGGAATCCATTAAGTGAAGCAATTTATACTAATACTTTGATGAATATCCCTTATTTGTTTTATTTTAATAGATCAAACGAATTGTTGAAAAATAAAGTTGAAGAATTCATTATAATGGTCGAAAGTTCTTATAATTTAAAAATTATTAAAATCGATTTGTTAAATGAATATACTAAATCTTTTGCTCCATACGAACCAATAGAATTAGTTCAAATCGTGTTAAACAATGTTAAAAAATCTTTATCAAATGATATGGAACAATTAAATCAATTATTTATAAATTGGCCACATTTATTACCTGAAAAAATTGATAATAATGATGATAGCGATGGTAATGCTGATACTAATGAACATGGTTTTAACGATCCTTTAATATTACCTACTATTGAACAGGTTACTCCTTTTATGGGCTTAGATAGAGGTTTTGGTTCAGTGGATGGTATGTGGAAAACTCCAAGATATGATTTCCATGTTTATTTACCAAATTCAGTCGGTGAATTCGAAACTGTTTTACCAATAACAACTTTTGCAGGTCAATTATTTAATGATATTATAATAGATATCGTTCAAAGTATGGAATTTAACAGAAAAGAAGTTGCAAGACAAGTCGTTACATTGGATTTGTTTTTCAAAAATGGTATCTTTGCTGAACCTGGTATCCCAATTGCTCAATTGGTTGATAAGTTCGAAGAAGATCCTTTAACTTCAACTTATAAATTGGAAGATATCGCAATTGAAACCATTTTAAGTTTAATGTTTAAATTGCCAACAGTTTCACAACCTTTTGCTTATTTTTATACTTTATTGGTTGAAATTTGTCAAAACTCTCCAAAGGCTATTGCTCCAGTATTTGGTAGAGCTTTTAGATTTTTTTACAACAATCTAGATAATATCGATTTCGAATTAAGATCAAGATATTTAGATTGGTTTTCAATCCAAATGAGTAACTTTAGTTTCTCTTGGAAGTGGAATGAATGGGAAAATGACTCTATCAAATTTGGTAAATTGTTTTATTCTCCAAAGATGTCATTCGCTAAAAATTTAATTCGTAAAGAATTAAGACTAACTTCAAATACGCTAGATGTTGAAGAAAGTTTACCAGAGGAATTTAAACAATATTTAGACAGTTCTTACATCAGCCATGATGAACTAGTACAATATTATCAATCATTTTTCAATGATTTCAAAGTTGAGCCATCAGATGTTAAAAAACATGATTTATATTTTAAACAAGATTCATTACCATTTGCTGAATTGACTCGTAGATTAATTGACTTTATGCATAAGAATGGAGAAGAGAAAAAAATTGAAGAATTGGAATCTATTGTTGAAGAATTTAAGGAAAATTATGGTACAATGTTTACAAATTTTGATAAATTCATCGTCACTATAATAGTTCAATGTTTAGCTCATTCTGGTAGTAGATCTTTATCTCACGCTAATAAATATATTAACGATTTAGCCGATGACATTAAGCATATCTTTAACAAATTGGAAATTGAAGATGATATCAAACAATTCACTGCCATTGAAGCTATTGTTAGATTCTGGAATTCTAATTCACAGACTGGTTTCTTAATTACCGATGCCTTCAAATATGCAGAAATTATAAGTTCAAAATCAATTTTTGAATTTTGTTTCTTCGAAAAGGATAACAGGAACTATGGTTTAGTAGATTCAACAGTTATTGAAGCTATTTTCAGAAATCTATCTCAAGATCCTTTGATCACTACAGGTAACCCAGCAAATTTTGAATTTGTCTTTGAAAAGTTGTGTGTAATAATCAATGATACCATAAATAAATTGGGAGTAAATGCGATTGAAAATGTTGTAGCCCCAATTATAACTGAAGACACGATTTTTAACGACGAACAAGAGCTAGTTAAATTAGATTTGATATGGAAATATCAAACAGCTGTTGGATTCTGTAAAAGTTTATTAAGAAAATACTCCGATGAATACAGATTATTAAATGAAAAATTATCTACTGGCTTACCAGCGGCTATTCCACATGAACCTACAAGAGATGTTTTGATCTCTTGGGTATCAGAAACAAATGAAATTTAATATTTTTTTTTAAATTTCATTATATACATATACAAAAAGCTGTTTATACTTTAATAATAACTTAAACAACCATAACATTTTGTTTTTCGTAATATTAATGGAAATAAGATTCAATTTTATATTGTAACTGAATAGTATTTAAATTTTAAAAATAGACATCAATTTTTGGAAGCCAAATTTGTTTTAATAATCATTCAGCCTCATATGGGTTAATATAGTGACTAATATACTACTTGCCAGGTTTAGTATTAATAATTATGGTGGCTTGCCAATTTCTAACGGTCTTGATGACATGAAAAGTTCTATGGGGATGTAAGTATTTGACATATAAATAGAGGCCAAATATTCACATTTGTAAATACGGATAATTGTGTAATATATTTTAGATATGGTATTATCCAAAAAGGACAAGTGGGGAGGTAGAATTCTCACAGACCAATGCTATATACTCAATACAAGAAATACTAATGAATTCTCAAGATTAGATGTTGAACTTGTAGTAATTTGATTCTATTTTATCCTTAAACAGAGTGTTTATGGAAATGCTTCATGTAAAATTTATAAATATTGTAAAGTTAAATGATGTTGGGTATCTGAAGTGACGGGAGTTGCATCAACAAGGATACAAATATTACTTCAATGCTAAATATAATGTTAATGACGAACAACAGTACTGTAACTGTTTGTGATTGAACCACTCGAAGTGTTCCACCTGGATATCGATGAAGATATTGCTTCATCCTCACTCTCGTTTATCGAACCGGCAAGTCTTCTCAGCCTTCCTAGTCTCTCTTCTTCTATTCTTGACTTATTTTGTAAAAGTTCTGATAATTGTGCATTTAAAAGATTCTCACCAAAATCATTCTCGAATGACTGAGCTGCTGAATACCTGGACTGTATTCTCGATGCTTGTAATCCAGTTGAAAACTCACCTATAGAAAACATTGTGTTAGACGGAAACTTAGTTAAATCCTCCTCTATGTGGTGAGTCAAACTATGTTCTACTAAATAGATACACAATTCCACGAAATAAACAAATTGTTCCCTTGTTATTGGGTTGCCAGAAAACCTTAATACTTCGTATAATTCTATCAGACGTTCTGCATTTTGCTTTACAGCTACATTTTCATTGGAGATAATATATTTCTCTCTGACAATATCAGAGAAGGTTGAGTCTATATCGAGCTTATTCTTATCAACACTCATAAATACACCTTTGTACTTGAACCTGTCGGCGATATTTTTTATACATGAATGATAATTCAGGTATTCAGGGAACACTTTGTCTATATTTGGATCATCACAACGTTCTGGAGGCTCCACACCAGGATGTATTACCGGATCTTTTGGTTTGATGAACATTGTACTTAACTGTTTCGATGCCTCGACACCTTGAGTAACCAGTTCTCTACTGCCACGGTGCGGCAGGTCAATTGCAGTTGAAGGTATATACCTTCTTGGAACATCTTGCAGACAGCTCTTAAAATACAATGAGCGACCAACAATTAAAATAATGCAAACCACGGCGAAGATCACCAATGCACCGACCACGATAAACGTATTTAAAGCATTGTTTGAAGATTGAGAAGCTTGTGCAATTGAATCTATAGGAAGAACAGCAGCAAAACAAACTAAGAACACATATGATATAAAGATAAACCCTCTTTTAGACCACAGCCATAAAAGAGAAATTCCAGTCATTAGACATTAAAATAAACACCAGAGATAACCTTAGAAGAATAGATAGCAATTTTTAGTAAAACAGTATAACTTGAACCAACAACGCTGTCTATTTATAATTCACTTTCCCTTGAATGAACTTTTATTATCTTATTATCTTATTATCTTTTTATATAGGAAGTTGCTATGGTTAGGAAAATAAAACAGCAAATAGAATAGCAAAACAAAATGTCCAATTTGAATGCTAGGGAAACCAAAACCAATATTCCACGAAATATTATCAACACTAACAAGACAAAGTTAGATTGGAACCGGTCTAGTCTCTTATAAGGGAATCATTTAATACTTTTAACCATCTTTCAAATTTACCACTCCTTTTCATTCTTTGATTTCATCATAATTTTTCACTTTTGTTAAACCGATTCGAAATGATGAGATGAGATGAGATGCGGTTGAACAAAAATAAAAGGTTCAAATAAGCAGTGAGTGGGGCTGAATACAATCGGTTTTGATCCCAATAAAGAATGTAACAAATTGATGCATTATTCACAACGTAATTGATTTCCGCTACCTCCAATTTTTTTTGTCTTCACAACGTTGAAGTGGTGAGTTCATCAAACCATTGCAAAATCGAGTATCTTCCGAGCAACTATTTGAGTCAAAGTCACCTTTGCAACATCAATTAAAGTATCGGTTCTGTTAGCAAAATAGATAACCCATCGATTCAAGCCATTATGGTCTCAATTGAAGTATATCTCTTGTACTAATCATTGCAAAACACTTCGATTAGCATTAGATATGGTCACCAAATAGGGTCATTTTATTGTGAACTCAGCGATGCTTAAGAGAACCTTATTGTCGTCACGTGGTACGACTAGGCAAAAATTTTGTATGGCCAAAATTTCCAATAACAATTTGAACTTTTAAGATACTTTCTATAAGAGATAACTATAAACTATCCAGATATCTATATATGAAATGGGTTGATTTGTTGGTTTAATTTGGGGATTTAGTCGGTCAATCAAGGTTGCTAATTGGTGTGATAGTGGTAGGAGCAATGCCAGACATTTCCAATATGTATGATAAGACGCCTAGGGGCAACCATTGGATTGGGACGAGTTCTTCACAGTTTTCACAATATAGAACATCTGCTAATACTTCTCGACGTGGACAAGGTTCTGCTAATGATGGTACAAGCTCCGACATGAGTGGAGGGTATGCATCTGGCCGTGGCAGCAATGATGTTGGGAGAGATTCCAGTGCCTATACAGGCAAGGTGAGTTATTCTAGATTTGAGTCCAGATCTGGGAAATCAGGTGTTGATTTGAATCAACCTTTGATTTCTACCGAAGTGGTTGAAGCTGCAAAACAACGTACTTTGGCGTTGATTGTTTTCATCATTATTCAGTTATATAAGTTTTATGATTTGGTTTTGTTAAAATCAGGTTTGCCAATATCAGGATTTGTATTTGTAAACCAAAGAACAACATTTGTTAGTAAATATTTATTGATTGATTCATTATTTTTCTATGTCCTATCAACTTTTAAGATACCAAAATTAGTTTTCAAATCGTGGGTTATACTAGTACAAATTGTACTGATGTCGCTAATAACAATCGGTATTTCCAGTCACACAGATTTTGTTTTGATTTCTTCGATCTTAGCCCTGTGGAAAAGATTAAATACAAAGGAATTAAGTGTTTTAGGAACTTCGGTTAACCAGCGCTCATTATTCGATTCTTCTGCCCATTTTAAAGGTGCTTTAACGATTAAAATTTTACCAGAAAATACAGCAATGTTAAATCCATTCCATAGTGCCTATTGTTTCCCAGTTGATAACTCTCTATTCGAAATAAATAGCATTAAGGTTCCTATTAGAATCAACTCAACTGCTGAAATTCACTCTATTCAATTGGAACATAGAGACATATTTACAAATGAAAGAGAATTGTTGAATTTGACAAAAAATGATTGGAAATTAATGACAAATATAGAGGATTATGCAGGAATGGCTGGCATTCCATTATCAACAGATGTATTAAAGGAAGAAGCAAAAACTTCAATTAAATATCTTTCAGTACCATTACCAAGAACTGGGTTTTACCAAATCAAATCAATTGTTGACTCAAATGGTTTGAACTTGAGAATATTTAATTCTCATATTATTGTTCCACAATGTCCTGTTGCAAAAATATCTGGATATGGTGCTTCTGATAGATGTATTGGTGACAATGATAAAGTACAAATCGAAGTTCAAGGTGTAGCACCAATGAAACTTGCTTACACAAAATCTGTTAATGGTGAGGAACAATACTTCTACGATTCTAACTTACAGCCAGAATTATTTGAATCTCCTTTACACTCTAATACCAAAACTTCATTTTCTGTAAGCGATTTAGCAGATTTATCGTGGGCCCAAAATCAGAATGTGATGATTAATTTAGACTCTATGATTAATAGCAATGGTGTTCATAGATACAGCATGGTCAAATTAATAGATGGTTTAGGCAATGTTATGGATTTTTCAAAACTAGAAGATGATTCCAGTAAAATTCTTCACTGTTCGTATGACTTTAATGTTCACTCAATTCCCAAGGCTAGTTTGGAAGAAGTAATTGATTCAAAGTCCCCTACAAAGAGATCTATTATTCTACATTTTGAGGAAGAAAGAAATTCGGTTAAAGGTTCAACTTCTGAGTCTAACCAATATTCCGCTAAGTTTTCCTTTTTGTCAACAGATGGTAAAAAGAAATATTTTGAAGTTTCAACAAATACCTCAACATATGATTTCCCAGCTGAGTATCCAGGTACATTTACATTAGAATCGGTAAAATCGAACTATTGTGCTGGTGTTATTGTAGGAAAGTCAAATGTGCTAATTTCGCAACCAGTTTTACCCCAACTAAAAGTTTCAGGTACACCAATTCTTGATAAATGTGTCGGTCAAGTTGGATTAAGTTTCGATTTGACTTTTTCAGGTATCCCGCCATTTTACTTTATTACAAAGATTTATAAATATGAAAATGGTGTAAAGAAACTTTTTGACAGAAAGAGATATAAATCACCAAGTACTAGATACCAATTTAATTATAATCCTACTACAGAAGGAAATTATGAAATAGAATTTGACAATTTGACAAACGAATTATTTACAGATCCAATCTCATTGAGCCCCAAATCAGAGTATATGTTTAAGACATCAATGAGGGTTAAGCCAAGGGCAAGCTTGACTAGCTCATTTAGTAAGGCATTATGTCTTGGTGATAGCACGGAATTATCTGTCAAATTAATCGGTGAACCCCCATTTAAACTAAAGTATGATATTATCGATATTTCTTCAAATAAAAGAAAATCATTTAGTGTGGATGATATTGAAACAAACGAGTATAATATTAAAACTCCTGCTTTCAGCACTGGTGGTGATTATATTCTATCGTTAGCAACTATTGAAGATGCTTCGGGTTGCGTAGTTCCATTAACAGAATCTGATGCAAAGATTAAGGTAAGAAGAGATACGCCATATGCCTCAATTAATACAAGAGAAAAACAAGCTAAATTTCAGATTAAAGAAGGATCTGTTTCTGAAATCCCATTAAAATTATCTGGTGAAGGTCCATTCTTTGTGAAGTATGTTCACATTGATTCTAATGGTAAAACCTTAGGCACTTTAGAGAGCCGTTTTGATTCCAATTATAAGACGGTTTTAAAATTGTTTAAGGAAGGTACGTATAAGTTGGTTTCGATGTCAGATTCTAGCTGTAAAGGGGACATTATTAATCCTGAAAATGTTGTATCAGTATCATATTTGGAAAAACCTGCTTTTAAAGTGGTAGAACAAAGTAATATTAAGAAGACCAAAAAGAATCTATTTTTTGGAAAATCTGTTTGTCAGGGTATTCAAGGATCGGTAGATATCTTATTATCAGGTTCTCCTCCATTCAATTTGAAATATGATTTACTATCACCAGATGGAATTGTGACTGAAAAATCTATGCAAGTTACTACTAAACACGCTACTATCAAATTCCCTGAGCATATTGCAGGTGAATATGTAGCTACAATCAAGAGTGTCTCTGATAGCAATTACAATGAAAGTGATATGAATAAATCATTTATTCAAACTAAAGAAATTACAATCAAACAGCTGGTTAACCCTACTCCAGTTGTTTCATTTTCAGAACTAGGTAAAACATACAGGACTTGTATTTCTAATATAGAACAACATGACTTACTTGAGAAGATTTCTCTTCAGTTAGTGCAAGGCTCTGAACCATTTGTTGTGACATTTAATGTTTACCACGAAAGTACTGGTAGAACAGAAAGGATTATTTTGAAAAATGTAACTAAGGATTCATTTCCTTACGAAAATCTATATAAAGATTTGAAGCTTGGTTCCCATGATATTACAATAGAAAGTGTTGTTGATTCTAATGGGTGTTCTAATTACTTTCATGCTTCGGAAAATGAACATATCATCATTTCTGTCACCGATGCTCCAAAAATACAATTGTTGGACCCATCTGCCTCTTATTGTGTTGGTGATTATGTTTCATATCAATTAACAGGATCTGCGCCATTCACAATTAAATATCAATTTAATGAAATGCATTTAAAGGCTACAGAGCACTCTACGCAATTTATCCGGTTGGCTTCTGAACCAGGTATCATCTCTGTTAATTCAATTGCTGATGCCTCATCTCAATGTCAGGTTAATTTCACAATGCCTAGTATGCTGAATGAGTATGAAAAGCTATCTTTGGTAATTCATCCTATTCCTTCTGTCACTGTTTCACAAGGTAAGTATTTAATTGAAGATATCCATGAAGGTGATCAAGCTGAAGTAGTATTTTCTTTTGAGGGTACACCTCCTTTTTCATTGACTTACGTAAGAACAGAAGAAAGTCCAAACGCTCAAAAGGCAGGTAGTCCGCATATTATTGAAACGCATAAAGTTACAGATATTTATGGTTACGAATATAGAGTGAAGACAAGTCTACAAGGTACTTATGAAGCTATAGAGATTTCTGACGCATACTGTTTTGCCAAGAATGATGCATTTTTTCAGTAGTTAACTTTAGTTATCTTTGTAATCATTACCGTTGCATATTATTCTCTAATACATAGAGAAAAGTTATAAATAAAATTAAATTTCATATACTATTTCAATATTATAAAGTAATAATTTTCATTAATTTATTTTTTACAATTTTTCTTCTGTGTAAATATACCATCCGTTGCCTGATTTTTCAAGTATTCCTTGTTTTATTTTTAATCTTTTGGTTGTTTCATCTAGTAGTTCCTTTAAGTATTCGTTGACATTTTTATTCCTCATCAACCACATGATCTCATTCTTGTATCCTTTGTAAATGGTACTTGATTTATGAAATTGATATGGCATCACATAACTATTTGTATATTCTGAAAACATCGATAATTTTTTTGTTACCTTCTTATTTACTGTACTAGCAACAGATGATATCTGATTGAGATTATTAAATCTCTCTTTCAGATTGCTATTTTTGGTTGTACTTGGATAATTCAATCCAACTGCACTATTTGTACTATTTGTATTTATATATGCTTTAGAATTATTATCAATTATTCTAGTATTTGACTTCGTACAAGAATCGTTTGATAACTTGTTTATTGACTTAAATGCATTATTGGGTACATCATTTTCTTGAAAAGTTTTATCTTTAGTAATTAAATCTGCATTCTTATTTTGATCTAAGTTTTGTAATTTATCTTCGCTGTTACATAAACTTTTGTCTTCTGTATTGGCCTTATGTTCTACCTTAGAAGCACTTATCTTGTGCTTTGAATAGGCTGCGACAGTATCATTGGTTAGGTCAGGCTTTTTGTCTAACCGTTCAGATTCTCTCTGATCGGTAAGTAGATTAACTGGGTCAGCATCAGTAACGATAATTTCAATCAGTTTATTATTGTCAAATGTTTTCTCTCTATTAGTTAAAGTTGTATTACTGGCTCTTGAAAGCACGGCTGTATCTTCTCCGCTGGCAGCCCATTCCTCTATAAAAGATTTAATTAAAATTTTTAATTCATCTATTATCATCCCTGATTGTCTTAATAGAATATCATTTTTTTCAGGTTCAATATTTATATCAATAACATTTGGATCTATGGTAAAACTTACAAGCCAACATTTTGGCAGTGTATAGTTAGAATCTTTATAAGCTGAATTCAATGCTTTTGTTAAATCTTTTCCGAACGATAATTTCAGTGACATTATTCTATTATTTACGGTAAGAAATTTGCATTTCTTCTTACTTAGAAGGATTTCATTGGCACACTCAGGATTTGGTAAGATTAGATTGACTGAAATATCATTATTTAGTCTGACATTTTCTTTTACAATCAATATATCCTTATTAATTGCCTTTATTCCAATTAATTTCAATATTTTTCTACAATTGCTGATTCCTGGTTCGGTAGTAACTTGCAATCTTCTTTCGAGTACTGACCCATCTCTATTCAAAGACACCATGAAAAATTGGAACCTTATTTCATCAAAAATAGTAGAATAATGGTGTAATAGAGTTTTAACATCATCAATTGTAGTTTTTGAATGCTTCGAGTATTCAATATACCTGACATGGAGGCTTGCAAGTAGTTTTCTTATGATAACGGTAGTTCCAATTGCACAATTGATCTTAGAAACTTTTTCATCTTTAACAACACCATTTTTATCTACAAGCCATCTTTGGCCTATTATATCTCCAGAAGTTTTTGATTGAAACTCCAGAGAACCCTTGGAACCCATAATATTAGAAATGGAGTTTAAGGCATTTCCTCTAAAGCCTAAAGTTTTAGCTGTTTGAATCTCAGAAAATTGAGTTATCTTAGAGGTAGAGCCACGAATACAAACTAAAGGAATGTCAGCAGCATCAATACCACAACCATCATCCTTAACCGATATATATTCACAACCTCCTGTCTTCGAATCAATTTCAATTCGAATGTTATGAGCACCAGCATCAATGCTGTTATCTATTATCTCTTTAATAGCAGTGAAAGGGCTAATCACATATGATGTAGCAACTATCTTAGACTGATCATCCTTATTAAGTATTTGGATTGTCATTCCCTCATTTGCCCACTGTTTCTCTTATATTTGGTTTGATGATTTTATCGCCAATGGTTTGATATGTGCTATGTTTTTACATCAATATTTCTTTTAAATTTTAAAATATTGTTACTTTTAAAATGAGTCTTAGTTATATATGGGCAATGTGATTATTTGAACAATTATAAAACTATTTGTTTATCAGTTACACGATACACACAAGAGCTTACGGGTTTGATTCTGGTTGATAATGGTATTTCCAAGAACCTTATTGCGTGGTTCTAGGGTTAAAATTGATTTTTTACCTAAAATTATTACTTTCGATGCTTACAATACTTTATATGCTACTACATTGCCTGTATTTGAACAATATTGTATTATAGGTGAAAAGTATGGAATTAAACAAGATCCTAAAAAGCTAACTGATGCTTTCCCACCAATATTCAAGAAACTACGTGAAACACATCCAAATTATGGTAAGTATACTGGAATTTCAGCTCGTGAGTGGTGGAGTATTTTAATACATGAGGTATTTAATCCAATCCAAGTACCTGAGGCTATGGTGAACGATATTCTAAAAAGATTTGATGGGACACAGGCATATAGGGTGTTCCAAGATGCTTTAGAGTTTCTAGATCTGGTGAAAAAGGGTAGACCTGATATAGTTGTTGCAATTATTAGCAATACCGATCCTTTGGTATATGAGTTATTGAAAAATTTAAAGTTAGATGAGTATTTTGAGGATAATATTTACTTATCTTATGATACTGATCTTTTTAAGCCAGGTTCGGATTTTTTTGACCATGTTTTGGAGCAGATTGTCAAAAAGAATCCAAATCTATGTACTGACTTGGGAGGTGTACAAGAACTTAAGAAACATTGTTGGCATATTGGTGATGAAGTTATCAATGACATGGAAGGTTCAGAAAAAGCGGGGTGGAATGGTGTACTTATAGATAGAACAGATAAATACAGCTATATTTCAAATATTGTAAATGGCGGCAAAAGAAATGAAAGCCAGCTTTCTATTGACAAGGTGAATGCTAACCACGAAAAGATTCTGGAATATAGTTTAGCAAATAACCATATGATTCAACTTTCTGATCACTCTCATGTTGTTTCAAACTTAAATGTTTTACGTGAATTCCTTTTTGGTAAATAGACTTCAATAATGAGCTTTATGAATTACATCACAATCCTACCTAGTTTGCATATTTAACTAAAGTTGCAAAGTAAAAGGATTCCAGAGAGCATACTTTATAGTGACATTCTTAATTTATAGACAATAAATGAATTTTTTTGAGTGGTTTTAATTGTTTGATGGCTTAAAGGTAAATGATACCGAATAAATTGAATAAATTTTTATTTGATCCCAAAAAGAATTAAAAAGTTTGGTCTTCTTATCTTGAAGAGATTGGGTAGCAATTATGCTGACAGTTAGGTCAGTAAATATTGAGTGTTAAAACATATATTATGCGGGGGGATAAAAATATGGACACGACAGGAATCGAACCAGTGACCTCCTGCTTGCAAGGCAGGCGCGCTACCAACTACGCCACGTGCCCAATATTTGGTTGACTTAAATTAAAAAGAGACTTCATTGATCATCTTGATTCTGAACACAATTTTAACATTAAATCTGTTAAGATCTGTTGTGACTTCAACCTGGATACTTGTCAGAATGGTAAGAACTTTAAGCTTTAATAAGAAGTGGATATACGTTAAATAGACTACTCTGTTACAAGAGGAGGAGCGAGTTACCACTTATTGACCTCAGTGATAGGTCAATATCTATTTAACGTATATCCACTTCTTATTAAAGCTTGAAGCTCATGCCATCCTGAGAAGATCTTATTTCAGTCCCAATTGAATTGATTTTAAATGTTTTATATTTTATTATATGTTTGAAAACAATTTTATTTACTATATTTCTTTTTGGAGTTTTATATTTACTGGTTTGTAGGATTACGTTGGCTCATTGTGGTCACTCTGTTACTAGATAACTGGATCGTTCTTTTAGTTTTATACATAGTTACTTGTTATATTACTATATATATTCTTCTTTTATACTTCAAGATACCTTGAAGAGTTTTCGGTTCGGACAGACACTCGTGAGACATGATAATATGGCTTTATAAGAAAAAGTCACATGACCAATGTCAGCAATATTGATAAGGAATGATTTTATTAGAAATCTGAAAACATATTAATACTTCTTTCTATCCTGTCCTTTACCTTCGAATTTACAAGTTTAGATTTAATTGTCAAGATACCAGTAATACTGACCAAATTGAGTATTCATATGTATTTCGACTTCACTCTTGTAATTTTTTCTATCAAGCTCCATAACTATTGCATCACCACTATCTATCCGTCAATTATCATTTATCATTCTACAGTTCCCGATTACTGTTGATGCAAGAGCCAATATCATGCAAAATTGTACTATTGATATATATGTATATATATAGTTTTCTTAGTAAACAATCCAGTGGTTTGCTATATTCTGGAATCTTTTGCCAATACATGAATATCGGTGGTTTTGATTTGATATTGCAGTATCTTTATATATATATTGTTCAAAATTATGAACCTGCTTAAATTAATGGAAATAGTTATTTTAAAGTAACACAACTATTAATTAGGAACATTCCTATCCGATTTCATTAATCGCAATTATTTCAATTTGTAGTTCAGTTTATTCCTTTTTCTTATTAGGTCAATCTGTTAGATCCAGTAACCCTTTGACGCTATCCTAATAAAATAATTGTAACAACATTCTTATGCAGGAAATGAGCCCATTAAAAAACTAAGCCGTATATAGTTAAATGTATTATGGTGATAGGTAAAGTTAAAACAATTGTGTGTATTATTTACAAAACTTACTAAATTTTTTCATCAACTCAAAGTAATTTAATATTTAGCCATCGAAAACCAAAAGGCCATAACAATACATTAATGAAAAAACAACAAACATTAATACCAGAAGAATATCCCATGCTTATAAGATCTACTAAATCAAAGTGTTTCACAATCACCTACTTTGAAATTGCTCAACTGACTCTGGATAACAATATAGTGACACTTTTTACTTTAGGATTACATTACGCATGATAATTTAGTATAATGAAGGGACAAGAAAGTTGCTGTTGACTCATTGCTAGTCTTTTACCATAAGTAGATTACCCATTTAAGACCGCCACACTTTATATCGAAAGGAATAAAGAATTTAAAGTTTCTTAATCAATATTTAGAGATGAAACTTGCTAAAATCTGCAGAAACTATGCTATTGATAATTCTGACTTTCAGGCAATTATACAGAATAAGAATAATTCAGTTGGATTTAAAGATCGAAAGGTTTTGAGAATATCTTTTTCCAAGTTTACTAGTCTAGTCCTCCTCAAAGAATTTGAATACTGACCACAGAGGGGATTAACTGCTGCATAAGATTAGGACGATTAGGCAAAAAGTGATGATTTTCGAAGAGGAACAAGTGGACAAGTACAACCTAATAACTATTTCCCAATACAGCGCTGCCATAGTGGAAGATCAGTATAGTTTGCCGGGAATAGCTACAGATGAAGATATAGATTCAAGAAAACTGTGAAAGTTTTAAAACTCACATTCAAAAACTAAACCAGATTCATCCGCTACAGCTAAGTAACAGTGCATAAAGAATCATCACCAAACCATACAAATACTCAAAAAAGATAAACAAACGCTAGAGAGTATTATTGTCCTTTAAATTTTCACATTGGAAGTTTTCTTTATCTTCCAAGAACCTCCTCTGAAACATTCAACAATATATTTCACAATTTTAAAAATAAAAAAAAAAACATTCATGATATATAACCAATGGTGATATACCACACTGCAATCAATTCAAAAGAGGTATCGATTTTTTCAATCAATAGCTAGATATCTTCTTTTAAATCATTTCAACTCATCTCATCTCATCTACTACTAATTTTTCACCATCGGATTTTATCACCTTTAAATATTTCATTATAAATTCAATTCAAAGGATAATTGACCAGGTTTAAAGTCATCCTTCAAGAAGTTTTAAAGGTTGTTACAGGTTTGAATCCAAGTTGGCTATTTACTGTAATGTCCCAATATTTGACTAGATTGTAATATTACTTTTATGATAAAGAAGGAATAAATTGAGGTAGGAGATATTGAAGGGAGATGAAGTTTGCTCAGTCTATTTTGGATAAATCAGTACCGGAATGGAAGTTTAATAATATTGACTATGAAAAATTAAAGAAACTTATTAAAGAAGCCACTACTGCAAGTGATAATGATACCAAAAACTTAAATAAATTGGCTAGTAGCTTTAAAGAACAATTAGAAAATGTGAACCTTTTCACCTCGATGAAGGTTAAGGAATTATCTACGAGGTTGGTGTCTATTGAGTCATCTATTCTTCATTTTAAGGAAATGAAAAGCGTTTCTAAAAATGTTCAAAAAAATCAATTGAGATTAATTATGTCTCATTTAGATGATTGTAATTCAGAATGGCAAAAATTATCTAGATTTGTAATATTACAAAGGATTGCATTGAAAAAATTATTCAAGAAGTTTACTAAACATTATCACGGGGGTCAAGAAGAGGCCAAAGATTATATTGAGAAAATCAAAGATTCTCCAGAATATAAGGACGGTTATGAAGGAATATCATTTGTTAATATAGATTTAGAACCATTCTTGTTGGAAGTTTCGTTAATAGCTGCTGTTATACATGAACTAAATACAAATTTAAAGCAAAATAGCACCAACAATGACAGAGAAAATATTATTGATGATTCTAAAACAGTCAATTCAACTCTGGAGTTTGATACAATATCGTTAGGAAATAGTTCAACTGTCCAATCTTTTTTACTCTCGATTGAAAATATTGAAGAATTTAAGTTCATGCTTCTGAAATCTGGTTATCATTTAGTAGATGATGAAGTATCATTTTCAAGAGAGGTTTTAGAAAACTCAGACATTACAAGCAATAGAACAACCACATCAGCACGTTCAATTACAGACTTAAGAACGATTATTAAGGATCAACATATGAAACACCAAGCTGAAGCATCACAAAAATCTTGTACTTCGACAACTGCCCTGTGTACACAGTCAAGATTAGTATATTACCTGATAGACTCAAATCCAAGTTCTCCTTTGTTCTTGGAAAATGAGTCAATGAATTTATACCCAAATATTCTGTTGACAGAAAAAAATAATTTTGATTCAAAACATAACGTTTTACTCTGTCATGTGGGAGGAATAAGAGATCATTTCACGACAAACAAGTTATCATACAGTTACTTGCAAGATATAATATCGAAAGAAACACAAGAGGAAGTGAATGCTGAGACAAATAAAAGGAACTCTAATCCTGTTGAAAAACTAGCCGTTCAATGGATAAGTTCCCATAATTTAAAGATTTTGGACACATCGATTTCTTTCAATAGATCAAGATTTGTAAAATATTCAGACACTGAGACATACTACATTACATTAGACGATGAATTTACTTTTAATGGTAAATCCATTTCCCATGCATATGTCAAAATTAATAAATCAAACTCGATGAATTCAAAAATATCTGTATCCAAAACCAATAAGAAGAAGAGGAGTACGGAATTTGAAAAATTATGCGAACTAATAATCGAAAACAAATGTCAATGCTACCCTTTATCAGAAGTTAATACAGAATGGAAGATTTTTTATCAGTTGAAGGATTCACATGATCTGCAGGCAGATTTATATTCATTAGCGCTACAGGATAAATATGAAATTGAAGAAAATATAAGATTGACTACTGAAGAATTTTTTAAAATAGGAACTCAATTAGTGTTAGAAATGTGTTCAACAGATTTCCAGGCAGAGCAACAGAATGTTGATTCAATCAATCCCTTAACAGTGAAAGAAAATGGAGATAATGTCGAGAATGATGTTGGCCGTGTTAGATACTGGAATGAATTTGATGACGGAGAAGATTTTGCAGATAATGGTTTCTATGTTAATAATTCCCTTGAAAGCCAGTCATTTCTATCAGAAAATGCATATCCAAAGGATAATGGTTTTATTAAATTTAGTAAACCATTCATTAATTCAGTGTATGATTTTTGTCAAAAATTTCGTTCTACTATCGGCTTACAGGTCGGTGATGAATACCCACCTTTATTATCTTTTAGTAATGGAAGAACAAAATATACATCAAGAGGTTCAATTCCTTCAGGAATATCATCTTCTATTTCCAATGATCATTTTGATGAATTACTCGAGTACGAAAGACAAAATATCGAGGATTCAGATGCAATCTATGAGTACAAACACGATCAAGTTGTAACATTTATGTATTTAACAATATTAAGTGTATCTTCGGTTACTTCGGGTATCTCCTTAGGTATTATCTTGGCCCTTTTTAAGGGAGGTTCTAGTGATTCAAATCTAGAGGTGGCTAGCATTTTGACAATAATAATCATTTCATCTTTATTAGTATCATTGATTTTAAATTGTACAAGTCTAATGCTACTTTTCAGCAGATTCACACTAGCCCCTCTCTGGCATTACATTATTTCATTTTTACTATTTCTGCTGGTAACATGCACCGTGTGCTATGGAATAATCGAGATTTTCTTATAAAATGAAGAAAGCACCATAAATACTTCAATTAAATATTCAATTAGCATTCAATCAATATATTGACATTTATTAATTTTACAATTCCAAGAACTATTTTATAAACTATGTAATTCTCAGCTTAATATTCTATATAATAGGAAGTAAAAATTCATTACTAACTATCCATGCATAATCATTTACCAGTTTTGCGGCGTCTTTTCTGGTCATCATGTTTTTTCAACCAGGCGTCTTCACGTTTGTCTTCTAACCTTGCCATACGTCCAGCCTCTTCTTCTTCAGCCATAATGTCTAATTCGTTCGTCTCCATATCATTATAATCGTCGTAATCGTCATAATTATCATATGAATAATCAGAACGACTTTTACCCTTATTAAACATTGCCCAAATCTCATCACGATTGTAGTTCGCTTTATGGCTTCTGGATACACTTGAATAATCTTCTTCGTCATCATCTATAAAATCATCCATATCATCGTCATAATCATCTTCATCTTCTTCTTCATCCTCATATCTTCCACGACGCAATTTTTGTTTTTTCATTTCCAATCTTTCTCTCAACTTCTCATTAGGCTTGGCTAACCCACCTCCCTTTGGAATTGGTACAATAACAGGTTTCAAATCATGACTAGTTGTATGAGGTTTTGGACTTGGCCTGGAGTTCCTGACAGATGTGCTATTATGCATTCTTTCATTTCTGTTAGATTTAAATCCCTGTTTACTAATTCTATACTTTTGTTGAACAGATTTACCAACATTTAGTTCCTTTGATTTTGAATTTAATACAGGCTCTGATTCTGGTTTTGAATGAGCATTATTTTCAGCTTGTTTCATTAGCTCATCAAAACTCATTTTCTTCAAAGGTGCATGTTTAGTCTCTACTGGTTTTTGGAATTTTGGCAGGTTATTGGAATTAATTTTCCTCTTAAATTTAAACTCTGTACCATTATCATTATCACTTGGACTATTTTTCCTTTTCCCTCCAGGAGTACTAGAAGAAGATCTTGATTTATTTGATGTGCCTTTGGGGTTTAATTTCCCAGACTTGATCAGCTCTTGCCGCCTCTTCTGTTTCAATCTGGCTATAGCAGGATCATCTTCTCTAACATAATTATTTGGAAGTAATGAACGTTCATCTTTTTTACCATTTTCAGTTGCTAGAACTTTCTTATTAATATCATTTGCTGGTGGCGTCTTCTTAAGCTGCGACAACTTCGAAAGAAAACTCATCTATAACAAAACCTAACCAATAGTAGGCACCGTGGTATCCTAAAACTTATATATACACTTGGATGTCCTTATAAACAACGTTTAATTTCTAGATAATTCAACTAACTTTTGATATTATGGTTCTATTATTGAAGTTTAATAAAATTTAACTACTTTTTATTCTTCAAATTCCGTAGTATTTATCCCGTAGAAATTGATATAAAGACCGACCTAATATGACGTTATTAGCGTCTGTCTATTGACTAAAAGAATTGATTCCTAATTAAATGAAACCAATGAGAGTTCGATGATTATAAGCTATTAATTATTATATTATAATGTTACATATCTATAATTAGCATTGTTTTTAGAATCCAATCTCATCCATGAAATCATTGTAATCATTTTCGTCCTTTGAAGGAGAGACAGGGTCTCGATCAGAGATCTCTTGATTTTGATAATCATCTGTATCTGAATTGATATTATCTTTAACATCCCCATATTCGATTATTTCAGGACTCCTTGGAAGAAATCCCCCCTCCTCTTCTGATAAATAATGAGTTTCTGTATCCATATCCCGATCTTTTTCTTTGAGCGCAGGGTTCTGTGCTGGTAAAAAACCTCCCATAGGTGTGTCATCTTCTGAATTGTCATCCATGCTATTATGTACAGCACCATGATCCTCTTCTAATGTCATTTTTTCTGGTATGATGAATCCACCACTTTCAGATTCCTTCTCAATATCATTATCACGATTATTTGTATCAGAATTTCTAGTCTCGATGATTTTACCATATGATTCATTCAAATCATTCTTTATTCTTAGTTTTAGCAACAATTTATTCCATTCCTTTAGAGCCCTTAGTTCTTCTGATTGTCTCTTCTCTTGTTCTTCAGAATACTCAATTGCATCGATTGCAGAAATAACTGCATCTTTAAACCAACTTGCAACGACAACTCCTGTGATAACTGGTTTTGCTTTATTACCTTTCTCAAACTTAAAACTTGTGACTGCTTTAACAAATGGTACATTTATAGCTTTTGCAGCCTTAATAGAAACTGGACTTTCAATTAATGAACAATTCTGGGGTATCATCGATGGTGTAAATACTTCAATATTTCCGAAAGCATTTTTTACTATTTCACCATCTTCATTAGCCAGAGGAGGAATATACATCTCTGTGTCTTCATATGGATATAGTCTTTCTTCATCATCAGATCCTTCAATGGGATTAAATCTCCTTTTTTTGATTTTCTTGAGACACCTAGAACCCTTTTTCAGAATCCTACCTTTCATATACCACTCCCTCGAACTTTTTAAATCTATAACATCTGAACGTAGATAAACCTTTAAAACGCCCTTAGTTTTGTTCTGAAGCTTTAGGAAGCCACATTCTTTACAACCACTACGTAATATTTGATTTTGTTTTAGCGATTGTTCTAGGATGTATAATGGGTGAGTTTTCAAATCTTGTATATTATCTGGCATACCTTCGTCTTGATCTCTTTGATCAAAATAAATATCTTCATAATCATCGATCTTAGTTCTTTTTCTTTTATGGAGAGAATCTATTAACTTATGATACCAAATTTCTTCATCTTCATCTTTTGTAATCCTCTTTCTTCTACATTTACAGTTATACCAATGCACATACCTTCTTGTTATATCTCTACATCCCTTTTTTCTATCATATCCAATAACATATCTCATTATATTTCGTTTTGAGGCTTCTACACCTTTTGGTTCCAGTTTTGAATGCAGTCTTACTTGTTCTATCGTCTTAAAATTTATTGGATCAATAGTAATCCATTTTTTTCCAAATTTATCCCAAACTTCACACCAAAATATTGGAAATTTTGTAATTTCCTCATTCATTTGAACTTTAGAAAGTGGTTCAGATTTTTTTAGATTAGTGAAATCTGGCGGCTGACAAGACATCACTAACCTTGCATTTAGTTCACAGGACCTTAATAATGCAACAAAACCTTGTGCAGCAAGATCATGATCTCCAATACCTTTAAGTATCTGTTTGATGAACTGTTGTTTAATGATTGTTTTTGATTTCGAGTTTTTTGGTTCTCGTATCTCATTCCACAATCTCATATAATAACTAACATTTTCATAATTTTTCATTATCTTCCAATGCTTTTGCCAAATTTCCATAGCTTTTTTCAAACCATCTAGGAGCTTTCTGGTACTTCTTAAAGGCATCTCTTCATCCTTTTTAGGATGTAATAATTCGAAGATTTTATCTGGAATCAATTTCGATAACCTTTTATATAACTTTGGACTATTAATCCACCCATTTCTTATGTAACCTGACACTAGGCAGCATATTAGATACAATTTGTGATCATCTTTACGGCTCTTTCTTTCTTCATTGCTACATACGTTTCTCTCTACATTTCGTTTCCTTTTTGAAACTGATTGTTGGTTCTTATATTTGTCGGTGTCAATTGTGATTGAAATATCTTGACCTGTGTCTAGTTCCTCGGAATCTATAACATCTTCGAATTCATCTGAATCGAAGTCATCTTCATCATCATCATCATCATAACCATATAGAGAGGTGGCAATACTATTATCCTCATCTCCATCTAGATTAAGATTCTTATCATTGGTATGCTCATCGCCACTACTTAGCACGATAGGCTCTTGTTCGACAATAGTTGAAACCTCTTTATCGACAGGTTCAGCATCCAGGTCTATTACAACCACTTTCCCATCATTTTTGTCAATCCGATTAACAGTTGAACTCCTTGTTAGCCTTTTCTTTCTTTTCAATGGCCTCTCTTCTTGAGCAGGCTTCTCTCTCAGAATCTTCCTAATCAGATCAAATTGTTCCTTTGATAAATTATCATCCATGAGGAAACATAAGTACTTTTGAAACAAACCCACCAAATAACTACAAATAACTATGGCCCACACCAACTGGGAATAGCTTGAATCAGTGTCTGTTTAATCTACTTTTATAGTGAAGATGACTTCACTTTTCATAGAATTTCCAAAGTGATGATGGATTTGGATAGCTTGTTAAATATACCTAAATTCGGAGTGGGTATATAGTTAGTATAAGAAGAGGTGAAAGTGAATATATTTTTGCATAAGTAATGATATATTTATATAATTGTTCATATTTATAAGTATTATGTTAATTATAATAGGGGGAGAGGGGTATTGATACGAAACGATTAAGAATCTTTTATAGAATTTACGTTTTTCAATAGTTCTACCAGATAATTATCGCTAATAGCATCATCCGATCTGTTTTCTTGAATTATTAATAAAGAATCATGCAATAGTTTTAGATATTCGTAATTTAAACCACTTGGACCTATTGAAGTAGCTATAACTTTTGCAGTGTCTTTAATATTTTCTGCACCCACAAATGCTTCGTTATCGCTTGTTCCTATATAGACAGAAGTTTCCAAAATTTTTTTACCTGTTAATGTGTCAGACGGTAATTCATCTAGTAGATGGTTTAGATCATCAATGTTATGTTGTGAAGCGTTTGGTTCTAGATGTACTTTAACTTTATGCAAAGTGTAACCGTTTTGTTCTCTTACGTCCAAATAGGTTTTGACTTTATCTACGAATTCTGGAGAGATATAATAGACGACACCCAAAGTGCTGCAATCGGATAGTTTCAATAAATCTGAGGAGGTAGAGTTATTGTAATACTTGACATCGTTTAAATAAGCGGGAGTAGAGATGATTTCATCGTAAGGTACCAAAGTTACGACTCTTCCTGGATAGTCCGGAGTGCCTCTGTGATCTATGGAAGATTGCCAAAATCTTCTAATATATCCATGAATGACAGCAGGTATTCTGTATTGGTAGTGTGGAGGAGGTTTATAAATGAGAGAACCGTAACCCAGGATCCAGGCACCATTTTTCTGTTCTACAGTCATTTTGTAAAAGAGTGGGAAGTTGTACTGTACCAGTTCCGATCCAAGTTTTGGATTTTATCTGTGTGGTATATAGGGCAGGTATATTTTTGATTGAGAAGATAACGAGAGAGTGTAGCATGTGAACAAGAACTTTAAAATAAGGACAACATAACACAACACAACATCAAATAGAAATACAAAAATGGATCAGGACGAACCCAGGAAGCTTAGATTGGGCATCTCGATTTATCCGATTCCACTGTAATGTATTCTGCTGACTATGATGGTCACCTGGATCAAAAGGGCCAAATTCCAAAATTTCAGAGCGAGATGGATTTCACAAGAAGAGAGAGAGGATAGGAATGACGACACGCGTTCGAACCCTGCGCGTTGCAACAATTGGTCCACCTAGTGTATGATACCCACCAAAGCGAAAGCAAAGCAAAAGCAAAGCAAAAGCAAAGAGAACAGAACAAGATATATCCATCCACATGGAAGTGAACCGTGAACCATATAGACCAAGCCAATGGAATGAATACCACAAGAGACAGCAACAACAACAAACAAACAACACTTTGCTCTGTCTCTGTCTCTGTCTCTGTCTCTGTCTCTGTCTCTCTCCTCTCACGCCCAAAAACAAGCCAAAAACAGAAAATTTTTCTTTTTTTCCCTCACCTCACCTCATCTCTTCTCTTCTCTTCTCTTCTCTTGAGGAAGCAAGAGATAGAACATCGTTTGCTATAACGTTGCTGTGAACAAGCTGTCACCAATGCAAACGCTACAACCAAACCTTTGCTGTTCCATCGATATACCATCGATATACCATACCATACCATACCATAGCATAAGCTTAAACATAGCATAAGCGTAAACTATTTCTCTTCTTTTCTCTTTTAATGCAATGTACGTATCTCTTGTTCTTGTTCTTGTTCTTTGGTCTCACTTGAAGCATGAAAATTTATCTGATTTGTACTTCCTTTCCGTATTACACTCTATACCATACACTGCCCAACTTTGCTTAGCTTAGCTTAGCTTTGATTTAACTGAACTTAAGTGAACTTAACTTTTCGTTGATTGATCGTTCTGCTCGTGATAGTCGATTAACTGTTAACTGGTTTGTTTGTTTGTTACTTATTCACTTTCAGTCCAGTCCCCCCATCTCTGCGACAGCCTGTTTCCTTGATACCATTCACTCTCACTCTCACTCTCACTCTTACTACTTCCATCTCAAAAACATTTTTTCTGATTTTTGGTAGTTAACAGTTAATAGTCGATATTTGATATTTGATACTTGATATTTCATATTGTATTGCATATTTGACATTACATAGTGGATATCAAGTTTTAGAATTTTTTTAGGTTTGGTGCAGTTTACAGGGTTAAAACTTATTCACAAGGCTAAACTGTATTGTTAGCTACTTTAACAATACTGACTGGGTGAACTAGGAACATTGAAATCATAGTATCTTATATACTTATTCCTCTCTCTTTCCTTCTCTGTCTTTTTTTTTTTTATTTGTTTAAAAAAAAAATCTCATTACTCTTTCCTATTCTATTTGTCCACTTTTAATTTCAGTTAAAGTTTTAAGCTTTACTGTTTCTATCAAGAAACCATATACTATTCAATTATTAAATCTCATTGATATTGACTAGTCTCCAAATTCCTTTTTGTTTTGGACCCATTGAATTTATTTATAACTTGAGAAAGATCCTTTAATTTTACATTTTACATTTTACATTTTACATTTTAAACTTTTTTTTTGGGTTACTCTCTTCATTCCAACAAAGTTATACCAACTATACATTTAGCATATCTCGATTGCATCATATATATATCAGCAAAACCCTATCGCACCTATCCATTCTTCGATTTCTTTCTACCATGGGGATTAAAGATATTTCAAATGAAGTACTGCAGAACCCTGAACTATACGGTCTTAGGAGGTCTCATAGAGCTACCGCTCACCAAAATAGTGGGTATTATAACGACAGCGATGACGACGACGACGAAGATAAAATTGTGCATAACTCAAGGAGAAGATCAAAACATAAAAGTAATAGCAACAACAGTAATAATAATAATAACAATAATAATAATGATGATGATGATGACGATAACGACGATAACGAGGATGACGAGACAGTATTATCCGATGAAGTCGATGAAGACGACGATGATGATGAGGAGTTAAATGAAGATGATGACGACTATTACGGATCCCCTGTTAAAAAACAGGCAAAACAACAGCATAGAAAGAAGAAACAATCTTCTTCCTCCTCAAACGTAAAGAAAGAAAAGGAACTACAATTGCCTACAAGATTCTCATCCCGTAATAATAGAACAGTCAATTACAACCTGGATTATTCAGATGACGACCTATTAGAGTCCGATTTGGAAAAGGAACAATATGACGAAAATTTAGATGATGAGGAAGATGATGAAAATTTATCAGATAATTATGAATATTCAGCCACTCCTCAACCTGAAGAAGACCACAGCATTGACGTCATAATAACACATAGGTTAAAGGAATCAGCAGACAAAGATTTATTGAAAATTGTCCCTGATTTAAATGACTGTAAAGAACATTTCGAATTCTTAATTAAGTGGAACGATGAATCTTATCTACATAATACTTGGGAATCATACGAATCATTGGGACCCGTCAAAGGTCTCAAAAGATTAGACAACTACTGTAAACAATTCATTATCCAAGACCAACAAATAAGGTTAGATCCATACATAACCAGGGAAGATATAGAAGTCATGGATATGGATATGGAGAGAAGACTAGACGAATTTAAAGAATATGAGATCCCTGAAAGAATTATAGATAGTGATCGTATTACTTTAGAAGACGGGTCAACACAATTACAATATCTAGTCAAATGGCGTCGTCTAAATTATGACGAAGCTACTTGGGAAAATGCAAATGACATCGTTAAATTAGCTCCAGATCAAGTTAGACATTTTCAATCAAGATCAAATTCGAAAATTTTACCACAATATTCTAGCAGTCATCCTGCTACTCAAAGGCCACCTTTTGAAAAACTAAGCGTACAACCTTCTTTTATTAAAAATGGGGAATTAAGAGATTTTCAATTGACAGGTATCAATTGGATGGCTTTCTTGTGGTCAAAAAATGATAACGGTATCTTAGCCGATGAAATGGGTTTGGGTAAAACTGTCCAAACTGTTGCATTCTTAAGTTGGTTAGTTTATGCCAGAAGGCAAAACGGTCCTCATTTAGTAGTGGTCCCATTATCAACAATGCCTGCTTGGCAAGAAACTTTTGAAAAATGGTCTCCAGATCTAAATTGTATTTATTATATGGGTAATCAAAAATCAAGAGATGCCATTAGAGAATATGAATTTTATACCAATCCACAAGCAAAAGGTAAGAAAAATATCAAATTCAATGTATTATTAACAACTTACGAATATATTTTAAAAGATCGTTCTGAATTAGGTAGCGTTAAATGGCAATTTTTAGCCGTCGATGAAGCTCATAGATTAAAAAATGCCGAATCATCATTATATGAATCTTTAAATAGTTTTAAAGTTTCAAATCGTTTATTAATTACAGGTACCCCACTTCAAAATAATATCAAGGAGCTAGCTGCATTAGTTAATTTCTTAATGCCTGGAAGATTTACTATTGATCAAGAAATTGATTTCGAAAATCAAGATGAAGAACAGGAACATTATATCAGAGACTTACACCAAAGATTACAACCTTTCATATTACGTCGTTTGAAGAAAGATGTAGAGAAATCTCTACCCTCGAAGACTGAACGTATTCTGCGTGTTGAATTATCTGACGTCCAGACTGATTATTATAAGAATATTTTAACTAAAAATTATTCTGCTTTAACAGCAGGCACGAAAGGTGGCCACTTCTCTTTATTGAATGTAATGACTGAATTGAAAAAAGCTTCTAATCACCCATATCTTTTTGATTATGCCGAAGAACGTGTTTTGCAGAAATTTGGTGATGGAAATATGTCTAGAGAAAATATTTTAAGAGGTTTGATCATGTCGTCTGGTAAGATGGTATTGTTAGACCAACTATTAACAAGATTAAAAAGAGATGGCCACCGTGTTTTAATTTTTTCTCAGATGGTTAGAATGTTGGATATCATGGGTGACTATTTATCCATTAAAGGTATCAACTTTCAAAGACTGGATGGTACTGTACCATCTGCTCAAAGAAGAATAGCAATTGATCATTTCAATGCTCCTGATTCAAATGACGATGTCTTTTTGTTATCTACAAGAGCTGGTGGTCTAGGTATTAATTTAATGACAGCAGATACAGTTATTATTTTCGATTCTGATTGGAATCCACAAGCAGATTTACAAGCTATGGCAAGAGCTCATCGTATCGGTCAAAAGAACCATGTTATGGTATATCGTTTAGTTTCTAAAGATACTGTCGAAGAGGAAGTTTTAGAAAGAGCCCGTAAGAAAATGATCTTGGAATATGCTATTATTTCTCTTGGTGTCACTGACGGCAAAGTATCAAATAAATCTAAAGAACCCAGTGCGGGTGAACTTTCGGAGATTCTAAAATTTGGTGCTGGTAATATGTTTGCTGCAAAAGATAACCAAAAAAAATTAGAAGATTTGAACTTAGATGATGTCTTGAACCACGCTGAAGATCATATTACTACACCTGATCTAGGAGAGTCTCACTTAGGTGGGGAGGAATTCTTGAAACAATTTGAAGTCACTGATTATAAAGCGGATGTTGACTGGGACGATATTATTCCAAAAGATGAACTAAAAAAGTTACAAGATGAAGAACAAAGAAGAAAAGATGAAGAATATGTTCAGGAACAACTTCAAATGATGAATAGAAGAAATAATGCCTTAAAGAAGATCAAAGACAGTGTAAATGGTGATGGCATTAGTCAAGATTCTGATGATGATGAATCAATGAAAACTTCTAGAAAGAGAGCTAAAGCAAATGATTTGAACTCTATTGGTGAAAGAGAGATCCGTGCCTTATACAGAGCTGTATTAAAACACGGTGATTTGATTCCAGTTTTGGGTGAATTGATCGCTGATGGTTCTTTACCAGTTAAATCTATCGAAAAATATGAAGAAATTTATACTGAAATGATGGATATGGCTAAAAAGTGTGTCGAGAAAGCGGAACAAGAAAGATCACAGATCTTTGAAGACTTAGAAAGGGATGCCAAAGAATTCAAGTTGAAGCTAAAATCAGGAGAAATTAAATTAGAGGATCAACCTAAGGATAATCCGTTAACCAGATTGGCCGCCAAAAGAAGGGAGAAAAAGGCTGTTTTATTTGAATTTTATGATGTGAAGTCATTAAATGCTGAATCATTAGTCAATAGGTCAAATGATTTGAAATTATTAAGCACTGTTATAAGCAAGTTTTCCAAAGATGATCCATTGAAGTTTACAATAACTGGTAAAATGCCAAAACCTGTACAAAGTTGGAATTGTTTGTGGGATAAAGAGGACGACGAAAAATTATTGGTCGGTGTTCATAAGTACGGTTATAACTCATGGGTACAAATACGAGATGATCCATTCTTAGGGTTGGGAGATAAGATATTTTTGAACGAAGGACCAGATTCGAAAAAGACAACCCAACCACCTAGCAGTGGTACTAATGAAACTTCTGAAACTGCTGTTGAAGCTGAGAAGAAAGGCAAAGGTATTACTGGTTCTTCAAAGAAAGTTCCCGGTGCTATTCATTTAGGTAGAAGAGTCGACTACTTAATTAGTTTCTTAAAGGATGAGCCAAAGGATACTGATTCATCAGGATCTAACAACGACAAGCTACCTAATGGGCCAACAAAGAAGAGACCTAGAAAGATCACCGCAACAAACAGTAGTAAGACTAATTCTCCTGGTCTAGAAAAACAGGATACTGGCAATGGTACTGAACCATCATCTAAAAGATTGAAGCCATTACCAAAGGGTCCTGCAGGGTTAATACATAATATGAGAAGTAGTTCAAACAGTCCAACATCATATACCAAATCCAAGACACCTAAGAATCATCCACATGGCGGTGCGAACAAACCAATATCACCAGCCAGTACGTCTGAACACGAGAAAGAGTATCCAGAAATGGATGAAGACGAATGTAGACAAGTGATGTCGAAGATGAGAACATCATTGATGAGGTTGAGGAAAGGTGGTAAAGGACTTGATCGTAAAGAATGGGCAAAGATCTTAAAAACAGAACTAACAGCAATTGGTGATCATATCGATTCACATAAAACAGAATCCAAGAAAACCACTAATCCTGAAACATTCCGCATGTATCTATGGTCATACAGTGCTAATTTCTGGCCTGCTCCTGTAAAGAGCACTAAACTTATGGCTATGTACGACAAGATATCCAGCTCCCAAGACAAGAACTAATTATTGTTTACTCATCATTAACTAACCGCACAACTACACAAACACACACATATATATATCTATACCCGCAAATCAATATACATACAAAACCTAATTAAATATCTAAATAATAAACCATATCTGTAATATAATATAATATAATATAATATAATATAATAAATATATTAAATATATTAAAGTTTGATAGAGTTTGATGAAGTTATTTTGTGTAAATACATTTGTAATCACGTGTAAAATATCCTAAAAGACACTGACTGGGTCCCGAAATCTACTAAATTGGAAATTGCAAAACTTAGCCTATTTTGTTTTCTATCAATTCTATCTAACTTAACTATATATAAGCTACATCCATACCTTCTTCTTATTCCAAATGACTTCGTCCAAAGATTTATCTTCAAAAGGCTCATACACACTTAGATTTAGGTTTGAATTGGCCATTCTACTTAAATTGGCAGTAGCAAAAGCAGTCGAAACATCTACTATGTGTTGCTGCTCATCGTACATCCATTGCAGCATAGAAAAAGTTCTCGTTGCATTAACCGATGTTACAGCAAATGATAACAGGTAATCCATTACTACTGGCAAATATTTGTGGGACGAAACTTCAGTATTACTGCTTCTTGTACATTCTCGGTAAAACTTTTGCATCTCTAAATAGGCTTCAGTTTCAACCAAAAAAATTTCAGATTTTGTAATATCCAATTTTCTCTCAGGTTTATCATCGATTTTAACAATCCTTTTGTAACTATATTTACCCTCTAATTTTTCTATTACAATGTTTTTCTTCTTACATATCTCTGTCAGGCGAGTATTGTAGTGTTCACTATTAAAATCTATGTATCTGCTCATTTCATATTTTATTTTAACAATAAGATGACGCCTTACTGCATCTGATACTTGTTCCTTTGAATTTAATTCTTCATTACCTGAGGGAATTTCGTCGTCGAAAATATCATATGTAGAGTCAATAAGTGTTTCATTAACTTTGACACCCTCGGATTCTTGGAAATTGAACTTACCTAGCTGTATTAAAATATCAGCAAATCGATGCACAGGATTTAATTTCTCTTTAAACTCATCTTCATAATATTGGAATACTCCCTTTTTGAAAGGAAAGAATAATGAGCAAGTATATATAATGTCGAAATTAGCCCTAGCCTGTTGTAAATACTTGTCTACTAATTTAACCGCCGGAGACAAATCTATCCTATCATTATCCATCTCTTTTAGTAATTGACTAGAATCCGTTATAGTTGACTTGGCAAAAAGAAGTGTACGAATATAAACTGATGATAAACTAATATCCTGAGACATAAATTCGGCTAACTGTTCAAAGGGACTCAATATATTCACTAGCAATTCGGCTATTTCAAAATCGTTTATATCCAATTCATTAGCTATATGAATTCCTTCAGTTCTACAATGGTCAAAAAATCTAAAGATGTCTTCTTGGTTATCAACAAATGTTTTTAAAATATTGTATTTTATGTCCCAGCTCACCGAGCAGTAAGAAGGTATCTGTTTTGATACGAATTTCTTATATATGTGCAACCTGACATCAGATTTCTTCAATTCTGTACCTAATCTAACCAACTTAGCAAGAACTGTAGGGGCTTTTCCAACAAATGGGTCAGAAACCAAAGAAGATATATTTAACCTTGAGAATCCAGAAATATCCTCTTGCAATGAATCATTGTCATCTGATTCATCTTCAGTCATGTAAGCATCTAAGCTATCTTCAGAGGAGGAATCTTGTAAACATATGCATTTGATAACTTCCTCGCAAATAAGGCCTAAAATGTGATATAAGCATTCGACATGACCCGCAAAGACAGGATATTTTGGATTTCCAACTAGTTCAGAACTGCAATGTAAAATATCTGATGCGTTATATGTACAGCTATTTGTCCACAATTCATTTGCGTTGTACTCATCACAGGTTGAAACTAGTAATTGTTTATTAAATAATTTTACTCCAGATCTAAACCTTGTATATTTGGCTTGAAAAGCACCCTTCTTGTAGAAGTCCATGGTAAAATTAAAAATTACAGAAGAAAATGATATACCGGTATCTGCTTTCCAATCGTCCACTTCCATGCTTATGTATGGAGGTGTCATATACTTCAGTTTCGTGAATCTAGAATTGATTTCAGATTCTAAACTAAAACGTTTTTGTGGGTATTCAATAATGACATTATGTCTGAAAGAATCACATTTTTGTAATTGTAATTTGAAATATTTTACTATTCTATCTGAGGTTTCTTTAATAATTTCAGATGCTTGTTTCCTATTATTCTCGACTGAAAAACCATCGAAACATTCCTCAAATACTCCTATGAATTTCCTATTTTCCCAGAGTGAAAGCGGAGCACCAATTTCTGCAAAAATTAGCACTAACTCTTCGAATGGAGAAAGAGTATCAGAAGCATTTCTGTTAACTTTGTTAAGCATACCAAAAAGATTTCGAGTTCCTTTTTGCCCTTGGAATAGTCTTTTAAGTGGAAGATGCCTTTCACAGAAGTAACCCGAAGCATTTTGCGAATCATCAATGAACGGATTCTCATTTTTAGTATTTCTTTCACAGTATTCATCATCTTGTTCACTCAGGTAGTGTTCATCCTTATATTGTATATCTTTATTGTGAATCGAATTACCATCGCATATCTGGTCGAAATTGGCCTCCCCATCACCATTTTTCTCAGCAAAAATTAATGGATTATTGTTTACATACTTATCAATATCTCTAATCATTCTTAAAGTATCTAGATCATTGTGTTGGTTATGTGTAAATGTAAATTCTGGAATATTTATAGTTTTCCTAGAAATCACGGAATTGTCAACAATTCTGTTATCGATATTGTTGTTGGTCACATACACTATTGTAAAATTATTATTAACAACAGTTTGATTTTCAGAAGTACCTACTCTTTGTCTCTTTCTTGGGTTGGTTGATGAGACTTCAATGATTTCATCTTCACTAGAAGTTTCATCTTCACTAAGAGTTTCATAAAAAGTTGTATTTTCAACCATTTCGTTAGTTCTATCTTGGTCAGTGATTGGATCTTGTTGCTGGTTGTCTGCTGCTCAATTAACTGGATTGTATAGTTTAACTTCTTGTATTGTAAGCTCATCTCTTTGTTATACGCCCAGGTGAAGCGTCTTGCATTTAGCTGCCCAAAAGGGAAATTCCGTATTTTTCAGTGTTTGGATCCATACCCTACATAGGCATAATTATGGATTGCAAACCACGTGACTATCACATGTCATTACCCGACCATTTGCCAACATTTTCGTCTTTCCGTTTGGATCAAAGTTGATCAAATTTGCAGAAACACAGCACAGCACCATCAGCCATCTGGTCTCTATGGATGAGACGAGACGAGATGGGATGACAACTATTGTAAATTACCAATCAATCACAGCAATCAATCAATCATATTGTATTGCATTGGGTCAGTTTAGTTTAGTTTAGTTTAGTTTGGCTTGTCTTAGAATCAATGATGATGATTATTGTTGTTGCAAGGGTTTGGGACCGGAAGATGGAGGAGGGTCTACTTTGGGCTGGTCTTAACTACATGGGGTAACCAGAGAGAATGCTAGATGGATGAGAATGGTCGTATCTTTTCTAAATGACTGATTGACTGATTGACTGATTGATTTAGAATGATAAGTTTGTTTCAACGTAATCATATCCAATCCAATCGCTCAACAACAACCACCCAACAACAACAGCAATCCTCACTCAAATCATACTCACACTCAAACATAACTGTGTCTTTCACATTACTTTTCTGATCTTTAATTAAACTGTTTCTTGTACTTATCTTGACTTCACCTTCACCTTCACCTTGGGGCTTTTTTAAAAATTCAGAAAGGAAGAAAAACTAAAATTAAAAAAAATTTTATTTTAATTATTTTAGTTTTGATGCTATGTATATTTCGATATAAGAGTAGTTGTTGTTGAGTTTGTATATATTACGAATAGCTGGTAGAGTTTTAACTGAACCCTGGGAGACGTCTAAGTTTAAGTGATAAGATTAAAGAAAGGAACTACTGTATCGAAAGAGATAGTGAGAATATCCTTTGGCTTTTCACATAAGAAATAAAAATTTACTAAAAAAAAAAACTCAAAAAAAAATTTAAAAACTAAAACTAAAAAAATCACTTTAAAAACTAAAACTATGTCAGATATCACTGAGAAAACTGCTGAACAATTGGAACATTTAAAGATTCAAGAATGATGAACAAACTGTTTCCATCCAACTTTGAACTTCATAAGGTTTCCAAAGTCTGACTCTTCTTTCTGCTTCCTTTGTACTTTTGGCGAACTATAATCCCTTTCGGTTTTTGAAAACCTTACTGGGAATGAAATTTTTCCTCCCCAATTGGGAGGCAGATTTTCTTCCAATTTGTTGCTTTTTTAAAGATTGCTTATCATATAATCGCTTCTTTAGGGTCTACGTCGTCATGGTCATTTTTACCTGGATCATAAAATCTGGGTTAAGATTGCTCCTATTTATAAAAAACTGTAATTATACTGCTCCGATCCAAAGGAAAAACCTGTGGTCCT